TCTGGGATTAATAAACTATTCTGATTTCTCTGAATCTCATTTATGCTCCAGATCAGTTTGCAGATGGTGAAAGAACAGTAAGGTGGTTTAAACAATTACTTAAGTCTTTGAAATGTTCACATTTTACACTCAAGCTCACACAAAACATGTGCAAGGTATGAAAACCAGCTTGGCTGCACTTCACTGTCTGGTGCGATCCATTTTCACAACCAGCAGCAAAGAGAGACACTGATTGTTGCATCTCGCCTGCTAAACCCTGGGTTGTTCCCTCTTGTCTGTGTGTTTTATATGTGTAAAGCAACCAATATAACCTTTGTTTGTTTGTACTCACTTGTTTGTATGGAATATTTTATGTGTTGTAACTTTTGCTGCCATGATGGCAGGTCTGTCTTGGAAATGTGATCTTAGCCTCAGTGACACTTTCACCTGGATAAATAAAAGATAAATAATCCCAGAGTGGAAGAAAAAGAATGAAATGGCTTTAGTGGACGTGGAATTCTGTGAAAACTTTGTAACAGAGCTGTGAACGCTCCCGCCTCAAACACACCTCAGCTTCCAGCAGGGCCGTTCAGGGACATTTACAGGAAACTCGATCATATTTGCTTTGCAATAACTTTACTATCAAAAGGTAAACAAAGACGAAGTGGGTCACTACACGAAGTCGAGTCATTCGGTTTGTGTGTTAGTTTTGCTTTATTTATTTTTTCTGCTGATTTATTCTTATTTATTTTCACGTTTATTTATTGCCATGTTAGTAGAAGTTGCAAGATGTGGCCAAATGTTGGTCTCTGGTTGCCTGAGCACTGTAAGTGTGGACGCAGCTTTAAGCTGGAGATAACGGACCTTTCACTATGTTGTAAATTTCAATAAGATTACGTTACCATTCGTGCCAAATTGGCATCAGTATCACCTTCAGACAACAACACGTCCGGCTCATGCCTAGAAATGGGCATCTTGCGATATGTGTGTTTGGATTTTCGTTTTGTAATTAACTACGTCGTGTTTTTCACTGATGATTGAGATGACTGTCTTCTCAGTCTGTCCACACTCTTG